TGTGCGCCGTTATCTACTTTGCTTGACGTCAGAGTCTGAGCTGTTATCTACTTTGCTTGATGTCAGAGTGTGGGCCATTTGCTGTTTACATTAGGTAAGTCTGCTAACGACAGCGCATTTTTAGCGTTTTCATGTGGACGGAGATTTTTTTAAAAACAGCGTTTGTGTGGGCGGGATTTTTTTCAATCCTTAGGGAGGAAAACCACCGTTTTAAAAAATACTTGTGTTTTTTGCATATTACTGATTAGCAAAGTAATGGTACATTGTTCATTAATTGCTCACCTCCCTCATCTCCTTGATCTTGGAGCCTCCTTTGCCAATGAGAGAGCCGCACTGGCTGGCTGGCACCACTAGCCGCAGCGTGACGGGTGGTTTGCTGGTGGCTGGACTGTTGCTCATGGAATTTATAATGTCCTGGAAGACCATGGAAGCATAGCACATCCTGTTTTCTTGTCTCATTCCTTTGGTAGATTAAGTACAATTTTAACAATTTTGAAAACAATGCATGAAGTGTGTCATTAAAATCGGAGCACATTTATCTGACAAGGGAAGGTAAACGGTACCTCTTCGAATTTGTAGGCAATCATGGCAAAAGCCTTGAAGATAGCATCTGTTGGGCCTGTGATGGTGACTATCCTCTCTGGACAGTTTCCCTCTGAAATATTGATTCGTGCACCACTCTGTGGAAAATATATGAACCGGTAGACATTGAAAAAGGCCAGCATACATGTATACATATCTTTCACATTAAAGTATGAAATACAACTATAAACGTACCTCCTCACGCATTTTCTTTACTGTTTCCCCTTTCTGAGAAAAAGGAACAAATTCAAAATTCTCAGATTTAACACTGAAGAAAGCCCCCTCCCAGGAAAATTAACTTTACATAATTTCATACATCTATCAAACATACATTGATTTTAAAATGATACAGCCCAGTGGTGGCAGACAGATTGATGTATTAAACATTTAATAAGAACCTTGTTGATTTAGCTGCCTGGGATACAACCTTAACTAGGAATAAACAATAATAAATATAAATATAAATTTATGCAGTGTTTGCTCAGTATGTAAAACACATAAACTACTAACCTTGCCAATGATGCTTCCCACTTCCTATAATGAATAAAAAAAAACAGTAACTTTTTCCATACTGTACCTATGACCCCTTTCCTCTGCTTTTGTTTCATGCAACATGTTGCCTAAGATATTTGAAAGTAAATCCAACCTAGGCTGCAAGCTAAGACAATTCAGAGATGATGAACAAGAACACAGAGAGATATCCAATCTGTTTTGGCACAATCTGAATATGACGGAAGATTACGAGCATGGGTTCTGACATGGCTCTGAGAACAAAGGAACATTGTCCTTGAATCTTCCTAAACCAACGAACACTTAGTCATGAAAGTGATGCACAGACAGACGCTGAAAGGCATCTGAGTCAGTGCAGGCAGCCTTTGGGATCTTGTCCCTGTTATATACCCCCTCCCCAAACACCACTCACTGCCAATGCCTACTTTGCCATGCATGAGGAGTCGGATGGTGAGGGTGACATTCAGCCCTCCTTCTGACTGGATTTTGGTAGGGTCCATACTGGGAGTGGAGGTGAGGCAGGACTTAAGTCACGTGACAGGAATCCCCCAAAGGCTAGAAGAGTGTGATGGTAATGCAGCCAACCAGTCACCTGTGAGGATGACAGAAAATGACACATACAGGACAGTCATTACGAGCTGAATAGCAATTTAGTGACACTTGTTAAATCTCCATACAATCATTAATGCATCGTTCTCCTTTGTTCCCCCACAAAAAAGATCAAAGTGGAAAGGATGTGATTCTATTTTGTACTGTGATCATCGCTAGCTCCAATTTATTATTATTTGAGTAATAATTTTATGCCTGGTTGCAACACAAGAGGGAGCACTCTTCAAACATTCAGTTACCATTCTGAGCAGTACAAACAGCTGAATAATATTAAGCATCAAAGATACTACATCAAAATAAGCCATTGCCATTTTTCTCTTTTAACTTTCTGTGTGCAAAAATCCTGCTTTTGACATTTATTTTATTTTTTATTGATTATTTTACTTTTTTTTTTGCAACGTCAGCCAAAGGAGTCATTTTGAAAAGGTTTCTTTCACAGAAAATGAAGACGCCTCGTTAACCGTGTAAGAAAATGATGTACAGTCACAAAGAAAAAAACGGGCTCAGCACCTTCAGTATGTCGTAATAGTATTTCAGACAGTATTTCATCCAGTATTTCATTTCTGTACTACTGCAAATACTTTCCAGCTGCATTTGACTTTGCAGTTTTGAACATTGAATCAGAAAAGAGGCAGTAATTCTGAAACCTCAGAAATAATGGGCAGGGCAGTTTTAACCAAGAGTATAGGTATTTTTCCCTCCTCAGCGTTTGTTCTACATGTATACTTTCAAAACCATCCTTTCAATGTACTAGACAAGCAATTTTATAATGAGGTACAAAACAAATGCAATTTTGGTGCGTAACGTTGAACCGGAAAAGGTGCAGTAATTCTTAACCTCAGAAATAATGGGCAGGACAGTTTTTGCCAACAGTGATTTCGCCTCTAGGATCAGGGCGAAAGTCTCTGCTTTGGCACTAGCGTATCTGTGTGGAGTTTGCATGTTCTCCCCATGTCATCATTGGGTTTTCCGGTGCCCTACCCTCCCCCGGGTCAAAACCATTTGGAGTTGCTAAATTGCCTTTAGGTGTGAATGATGTGTGTGCCCTGCCATGGGTTGGCACCCCATCCTGGGATATTTCCTGCCTTAGGCCAGTAGCTTCCAGGGTAAACTCTGGACCCCACAACTCTGCATTGGACAAGCGGGTAAAAAAAATGAATGGATGGATTTTTGCCGTGCATTTTAATAACAAAGAAGGAGGAAAAGATGTTTGTGGGTTGCGGAGCTCTTTATAATCCACTGGACTATGATCAAAACTTACAGAACCAGAGACTGAAAGACTGAGAAGTGAAGCAAAGCCTTTTTATTCACAGGGTAAAAAAGAATGATTGTTCAGATAATAACAGGGAACGAAAATTGGGCCGAGGTGATTCAGGGTGCAAGATGTAAAGAGACAAGGCAGGAAGGACAGAGAGGCCTAGGAGGAAAAGGCAATGAGAGGCAATGGGAAGGAAAGAAAATGGTAGAGAAGACAGGAGGAGAGAATGAAACGATGGTGGGAGGATCTGTGGTTGAGAAATAATATCTGTAATCAGCTGTCCTTTAATTTACCAACAGAGCCCAGACTGCAGGAAAGCCGTAATCCTGCGTTAACTCCATCCCAAGGATCTAGTGGACGACACAAATAAATCTCCCTGGACATTGGTGATGTACCCAGCAGGAGATGCAGAGGTCCTGATCGCCTGTGAGACCTGACTAATGGTTCTTCTCAGAATCCCAGAGTGTTGAACCAAACACAGTGCCAGAAGAGCTGTAGTTTAAGCAGCGAATATGAACTTCGAACTTAATTTCCCTCCTGAATAATTACTGACAACAAGTAAGCAAGAACCTCATTAAAAAAAAAAAGCTCATAGAACAATGAGCAGTGCATCAGTGGGTGACGTGGGGTCATCCAAACACACTGGTAACCAATCTTCTTTCACCATTCATGCTATGACATGAAAAATACACGATTTGATGAATCACACAAACAAATCACCAGAAAAGGAATGTTACTTTCAACACCTGACCAATACCACTTCAGTCATTACAGCTGATGATCACTGCACGAAATATCTGAATTATTTGTATAATGAATCTGAATGAACTGTTCCATGGATATTTGTATTGACGTACATGTTGGTTTGATGTTAATTTGGCTGAAAAATGTCGAGTACCTATTAGGAGCAGTATTCCTCCTGACATCTGATGTAGAAAGTGGGTCAAGCCTCCGATAAAGAGCTTCTGGCCCCTTCCTCTATGGAAGCTATTGAATTAATCACGCTTTACGCTTGGGCAGGCAGCACATCCAAAATGGTATTTTCTCTCACTCTTTTTCTTTCCCATTGCTTTGTGTTCCGTACGGAAATAGCTAAGAGCACACACACAAAGCATTATATTTTTCCTACACTGTCATTTTATGTCGTAATGCTTCTCTTCTTGAAAGTCCACTTAACTGATGATTCAAGAAAAAAAAAAACTGAATTAGGAAATAAAGTCATACCTTCGAAAGATTTATATTTAATTTTGAAGTGTTTCATTTCACTTAATCATGGTTACAGTTGTGAGGAAAAGTTTCTGAGGTCCACTGGAATTATCAGTAAGTCTGTAACATTTCCAGCTTAATGTGCTTTACCTACTCTTCTGAGGTCCTCTGAAAATATTTTAGATTGGGCCATATTGCACAGAATTTCAGTTCTAAAGTACAAGAAATCTAAATTATGTGTATTTTTTATACGGGAGGCAAGGTTTAACCCACACCTGAATTGACTGGAACACTCCTATTACCCTCTTTTCATCAATGACCTTCATTGTTTGTACCATATATTCAATTTAAATATGGCAGCATGAAATGCTTATTTGTTAAAGATTGCATTCATGCCATTTATTCAAAAATTGAGCTGACTGGTTCGCCAACTTTTTCTGACATCTATGAGTAATTCCATATTTCCGTTAAAAGACCCAGCATGATTAACTTTTACAGCGACATGCGACATGTCTGACACATAGCTGGCTTGTGAATACAGGTGCATTTTACCGATAACCACATGCGTGTGAGCTGCTCTGAGCGTGCGGCATATCTTGATGTTCCTCACTTATGCACGATGCCCCAGCACTGTATGGCAATGTGCTTCATTCCCCTGACTCTTCACCTCCACCCCCCTGCTCTTTCCCCCCCACCCCCAACACCAGCAACTGGGTCACTATTGCTGTTAGACATCAATGCAGGTTTTCAGTGATTCCAGGGTTCCTAAAAAAACTACCACTTTACAATAACACTACCCTTATCACAGGTTTATGAATGGTTTATAATCATTACTAATCACATTGTAACATTTTGTAAATCGTTAGCAGACAACTATAAAATGTTATAACAGTTTTCTTTTTATTAATGAGTTAAAACCATTTATAAAGTAGCAAAAAGGAGCCTTATCGTAAAGTGGAACTTTCATTCTATTGCTATACCTTTTAGAGTAACCAATCTTTCACCATTCATGCCATGATTGGATAGGGAAAAATACACAATTTGACGTATCACACAAACAAAATTTATGTTCTAAGATACTCTCAAGATTTCTAACATATCTGTTTGCATACTATTTAACAGATAAGTATTAAGAGATGCTGGGGTCTTCAATTCAGCCAGATCAAACACAGGGCATTACTGACTACATGCAAAACAGTCCAGAGCAAACAGCACGTTTAAAATTTTACTTCTTTTTGTAGAATGCTGATTATTTTTATCAAACGAAGATAAGATTGAGCTGAAATCTGCCTAAAACAAATGAGAATTGACCCAACAAGTAGAAATATAAATGCCTTAAATCGCTATAATTCTCTCCAGAGAAACAAATTTTATAAACATTTTTAAACTTTTACATGTCAAAAATGTTAGTAGTCTGGCCTAAATAAAGCACCACAAATAAAAAAATCTATTAATTAATTTTCACTTTCAATTTGTCGTCCTTGAAGAGAGATGTTTCTCAGTGAGTATAAACCACATGGGTACTTAAAATCATTCAGAGCTGCTTTATAAGCTCAAAAACTATGGAATGTCCATTAAGCAAGTGAGTGCAGAATAGAGCCTATTTAGCTGTTATTAGAAAAAAAATAACAATTTTGATTTATTCCAACATCATGTGGTCAATACTTTTAATAGCTGTCATTCACTATGTTTCTGTATTTCTGCAAATTTGTATTGTAACTATTTTTGGGAGTCGTCAAGAACAACCTGGATATTATTTTTCATTTTTAATTCCATGATTAGTTTAGCATCCATGTTGTACTGACAAATGCAAATACTCCACCACACCACATTTAAAAATGGCCTGTTTCACATTGTCAGCTTGACAAGCCCTTGTAAGACCAGGATGTGCCTTAAATATAAAGTTTCCCTGGCTTGAGCACTAGGAGATGTGGCAGTGAGAGGAGGCTAGGAACTACTGTGATTTATCATATTAAGCAGATCACTACTCTTGTCAGTGGATCAAGAGGCCATGTAAAATACGCAGTGACAGTATTTATTAGCAAAAAATGGCTCATGCTAAATATCTAGGCAAATTACAGCCAGCAGGAGTGTGCTTGTCAATTCCATCTCTCCACACATGCACTAAACCTGATACACTCAATGCAGGAATAAAAAAAAATATAGACTTTGGTTCAATAGGACTGTACCACATTAATTAACTTTTTATTAACACTCGAGAGGAACATGGTAACAAAACTTAAGGCAAGACAATTAAATATTCTTCTACTAGGCCCAGAGATGATCACTTCCTCTCAAGCAGGATCCAGGGAGGGACAATTTTAGGCTACGTAATACAGACCACACAGTACAATTCTATTAACTAGTGCATCAAATAGACATGTTCATTCAGTTAAAAAGCAAACGTCATTTGAAGAAGTATATGACTAGAGGTTTTGCTGACATTTTAGTCATATTTTATTTCTCATTTTGGCTTCAGTGTGACATTGGCTTTATTTTTTTTTCAATATTTGGAAAAT